TTTTTTTTTGTGAATGACTTTTCGGATACTCTGTATTTTATTTGATCTCAGGAATGTGCCGAAGTCACAAAAATTGGGGGGTATCTATAAATTACAAGATTGATAAGAAAAGTTTTGCTAAAATTGATCAAATCTGGGGACGATCGAGCAATTTTTTGAAAATTGGTGAGCAAATAAACGGAAAAATTCTGAAATTTTGCTGGCAAAGAATGAAAATTTCTCAATGATTGGAAGATTCCACCACTCTGTATACCTCTGTTTGCTTTAATGAAATAAAAGTAGTATTTATATTAAGTCCTAGGCATGGCGAGGTGAGGTTTTTGACCGACTCGCAGATCTCTGATTGCCATATACTAATAGGAAAGACAACCGACTTCATTATTTGATAATAACGAAAACCATTTCATCTCAATTAATTCGATCTAAGGTATTTTTGTTTGTTTTCATTTTTGAAATGTTAATTTAAGTAATAAATCAGCTCGAAAATATTCAAGTCATAGGCTCGAATTAATTTGTTTATTATTTAATTCATTTCTTGTAACGAATGATGAAAATCTATTATCAGCTAGTTTTCGTGAAGAATTTCTTAAACAATCATCATCCATTATTTTTCTGAAAAACAGGAAATTAATATTATTTGAACTTTTTTTTTTATTTTCTTCATTAAAAAACAATGAATAATAGTATATTACACATATAGACAAAAGATAAATCAATCAATATCGAAAAAAATTTAGATGTTGTTTGTTAGAATTTTAAGAAAATACTAATATATAGTGAAAATTATTCTCTTTCGAATAACAATTAAATTTGTTCGAAGATAAAATATTCGATATTAATAGATGATACTATCGCTAGCGTATCTTCAGAAAATCTCAATTTATTGATCATTTCTTTCATTTCTCACATGTTTTATTGGTTCGAATAGTCATCATTGTGCACTCAATACCACCTACCAATAAAGATCTTGAAAAAATGACTTTGACAAGAAAATTTATTCAGACAAAAACCTCTATATTTCTTCATGAGTGCTAGCAACGGAAATCAAAATCTCCGAAAGACTGTTCTGCTTCCAGCGCCCTCTCTAGCGCATATTTTTTTTTAATATTGATTCGATGATTTATAGTAATAGTTGGTTGCTGCTTTTATGCAAATGATTCATTATATGATTCCGAAAACGAATTCATTGATGCACATGTTCTGGTCATTTTATAACTGAATAAATTAAAAAGATAATTTTACAGAAAAACTAAGTATAGTTTACAACATCGTTATATCATATTTTCAGTGCTGCCATTTTTATTTTTGCTATTTTGTTAATATCATTAACTAGTTTCATCTTTATCGTAATCGTAAATAATCAAACTCAAAAACTAACCCAAAACAGTTGATGTAGCTGATACAGACGGCTTAAGGGCACTCACACAAATACAGAATTAGTTGATTTCGAGTCATATCCGATGATTTTTTAATAATTAAAAACTTTTCATGCATTTTGATAATATAACATTCTTCTATCATACATAATTAGCAGAGAGCGTCATCTATTAATTTTTCTAGAAGTCATCAGCATAACATTTAGCAGTAATACTATTAAAATTACACTAATTCTGAATATATATAAATCTTAATATATTACTCAGTTATAAAAAAATCATGACGTAATGCATTTAGAAATAATTATTACAAGATCAGTGCATTTGAAATATCAGTCATTAGATCATCTATATATTATAACAAGTCAATAGAAATGTCGAATAAGTTGGTCTTTTTTGTACCTTATCATACAGGTTATGCTCATATAGAATTGATTCTTTCGTTTGCCTCATTTGCTGACGTTCATCTCTTCGTTTATAAGTGGAATCCTGCTCAACAGCTCGTACGAGATTACTTTTCCAGATCAATTCATGTTACAGTACATGAATTTAGTATCGATGCTATTCTTGCAGAATTAGTCGTGCAACAACAACAGCAACATCACGTAGTTGTTCTTCTCACTGCTTCTATAAATTATTCACTCGGACAATTACAATTTCGTTTTTTTTGTAGTATACAAAAAAATGCACCTTCAATTATTGACGTCTACTCCACAGGTCACTGCATGTATGGATGTCAAAGTTGTGCTCATGCTTATTCACATCGCTTACCGATTACTTTCACTAATTATATTCGTACGAAATATTTATCATCTATTGACATCGATAAATATGCTGATATTGTTATCTGTCCAAGTTTTTCATCTGAAGATGCTCCATTTAGTCTTTTGTCGAACAAAGATATTGTCGAGCAAATTGTTGCTTTTCCGTTTCCACATGTTATCAAATTACATCCACTCACGTATCAAATTAAGAACGATGATAATCCAATGTTATCTCTAAGTAATTTGGAACAAGAACATACACATCATTTTCTTACATCGAAAAATATTTTACCTGACACACAAACAAATACATTAAAATTAATCGAACATGCTCGAGTTCTCATTTGTGATTCCGATTCGTCGATTCCATTTGAAGCACTCTATTTCAATGATCATAAGCATATTTTAGTTTACGAAATGGCTGAAAAACATGATAATAAAGACGATCGACAAACGTATTTTCATATTTTTAATAATGCTCAACAATTGACTAGTTTACTCGAGCGTTACTTTGCTGGTGAACTCGAATGTAAAACAGAACATAGTCATAAATTTTTCTTAGAAAAATATGAAGAACCCGATGGAAAAGAAATAGAACGACTGGCCAATATACGACAATGGATGATGAATCATCATGATCTTGATCAAAACATCGATGCTAAAAAAATCAAACAAGGAGTGAAAGATCAATTTCAATCATCATTAACACAGATGACTCTTTATGCATTAGGCGAACATACCACTGCACAAATAGGCGAACTCTGTTATGGTGACATGAATGATGTATTTAACGTTTTGTTAGATAATATTGCTCAACTTTAGTTGTATTTTGATCTAAACTTTTTTTTTCTCATTATATCGATAACTATGAATAGTCATAGTACTTTGAATCACAAGAATAATGTACTTATTTTAATACAAACAGAAACTTGTCTCATAACGAAACAATACAGTCACAAATCTCATTTTCAAAGAACGTTCTTATGAGAACGACATGGGGTGAATCCTCTGATTTGTTTTTTTGTATGTCGTAGAACTCACTGAGTAAAATATAACCTGAATTTTGTTATAATTGTTCGATTTTTTTTTATCGAATTAAGGGTGTGGGGTGTGGGCTGTCAATGAAGAGAAGACCCACACCAACACCCATCATCATTATCAATGTGCATTGAAAACGATACCATTCAGTCAGTTGTAATAAACATATCGTTGTGATACAATATATCATGATACACTACTTTCAAAAAAACAATCGTCAGCATAGCATGCATTCTTTCAATAAGTATACCAACACTAGTTATCACATGAGTAGATTAATAAGTATATACTTTGTACAAATACTAAGACTTCAACAAAGTCATTAGTAAACCTTCTTTCTATAGTTACACTTGAAAAAGATAGAATAGAATAAAAAGTAATAACAGAAACAAAATCACAATGATCGAAATGATATGAATTTATGTTTAAATTTTTTTTAAATTTCAGTAAGAAAACTTGATATATTTTAGGTACCTGAAGTGAATTCAAATGCTGAATTAATATTACCACCATGTTCAATAAGTCAACAAGAATCGAATTGGCCATTATTAGCTGCATCAAAGAGATTTTTTGAAAGTGCAATGATCAAACAAAGACAACCAACATCAACAACAGCAGGTTTAACATCGAATATAACAACAAAACATGCTGCAAATCTTCATATTGATGAAACAACAACATGTGGTGGAGATTGAGCTAATAATGAAGTACAAATTGATTAATTGAATTACCACCTGATCTTGTATATTATTGATTTTTTCTTCAATATGAAATGAAAGAATAACATATTTCTTTATTTTACGAAACAACTGGTGGAATTGATGATGAAGAAGATGCAAGTGGATATTTTCTAGCACCAACAAAAGGTCAATCAGTTCCACAAGCTTGTACACAAAATTCCAAAGTAGCAATTGATCATATATTAAGTGTTTCATTTTAATCAGCAATGCGTTTATTACATGATCAAATAAGAATTATTTGTTTTGATGAATATAAACAATTATTTATTCAAATATATTTATGTTCACGTATAGCTTTTACAGCACTTCGATCATTACCATCATTATATGGATATCTATTAAGAAATTAGTTTGTATTTATTTGTTTATTTAATAAATATTTTTAAATTTTTATTTCAATTATAATGGCGTGATGCACATTCACCAAAATTACTTTACCCAACAGTTGGATTAAAATTAGAAGAATAAGTTGAACATCTTCAAATCGCTTATAGTTTAATAGCAAATGGAAAATTTCGAGAAGCTGTTGAAAAATTTCGTTCAATATTATTATCTGTTCCAATACTCATTGTTGAATCATGTCAAGATACTCTCGAAAGTCAATAATTAATTGAAATATATAAAAAATATATATTGTTGGTTTACAAATGTCAATGGCAAAAAAAGATTTAACAAAAGATGATGAAAAACATTCATGTGATTTAGCTGCTTATTTTACTCATTTACAATTACAACCAATATATAAAATCATGACATTAAAATCTGTACTTAATCAAGCATTTAAGTTAAAAATTAATAAAACTGTAACAAGCTTTGCCACACGTTTATTGGAATTGGGACCAGCACCTGATGTTGCTCAAGAGATTTGTTTTGTTTAACTATTAATATGTCATTTTCAAACCAAACATTTATTTCTTTCTCGATTTTGAAAAGTTTTAAAATAGACCGAAAAACAAGAAAGAAAACATATTTTTAATGTACTCAAGATATATCAAATCTGTTGATCGAAATTTTTCATGTTTTTTTTAGATTTATTTGAAAACAATTGGGTTTATTTTTTGTTAAATGAAACATAATTTTGGTTCAATTATTTTAGAAGACAAACAAAAAAAATAATAAAAACTTATTTTTTTTTACTATTTTGTTTAAACACCCAAAAATATTAAGTGTTTGTGAAAAAAATTCAATTGATGAACATCCATTAAAATACGATGAATATAATCTATTTGATAAGTGTACTGCATCTTATGTACCAATTTATCTGTATGAAATTTAAAGTCATCTTTAATTCTTGTTTAGTGGAAAACCCTTAGTGAAATGTCCATTATCCGGAATTTAAAGGGCAATTATGTCGTGTTACAAAAGCAACTGAAATTGGAAAAGAATCTTTTGATCTTAGGATTTCAATGAGCTAATTTTATTAGAATAAAAAGAAAAAGAATTCTTATTAACTTTTAATGCATATATTTATCATTTTTAAAAATCAACTTATCATTAGAACGTTTTTCTTTTATTTCAAGATCATTCAAAATTCAACTAAAATTGTTTAATCATCAGAAAATTAATCGAAATGCTTCGTTTTTTTTAGTCATATAAAAACCTAAAAGATACAATTTTTTTTAAAGATAAATTATAATATAAATCTTCTTTAGTGAACATTTTTATAAAGAAATCCGTTTCTAAAACAAGCATTTAGAATCAATACATTTGTTTGAAATAAATTCACTTCAGTAGATATTGAAATTCTACGATAATATATCAATAAATAATCTCGATTTATAAAACAACATCAATGCAACTGAGTATTTTATAATTGTTTAAGAAATTTTATCGACAGGTTTTCATTTGATATTCGACATTTGCAATATCTCGATTGAATCACTCAATTGATAATCGAGTTCATTTGCAAAATATAGAAAACATAAGTTAGTTGCTAGTAGACAACTTTTTTTTTTTGATAAGATTCTTTCAGTTCATTGAACTGCGAGATACCACATGCATCTATTCAATATTCATACCGGTAGCTTTTTCTTGCTCAATTTTACTAAACATATTGAAATTGAAAACAATTGATTTAAATTATAATAACGATTGTTTGCACCAAGAAAAAAAAAGAATTTTGATTCATTATCAGACTGTCGAAAGTGTTGTAAATAATATTGATATTTATTGTATTCACTAATAATGATCGAGTTATGCCGACATTACACTATATAATTAAGTCATTAATAAGACTAAGAGATAATTAAATGTCTGAAAATATACTTTTTTTTTTATAGATTTCTTCATATTGAAATAAAAATAAAAATGAACTATGAGAAATAAATTTTCATTCTAAAAATTAAAATGGAAGATAATAATGATGATTTTCCATTCAATGGCTTTTTCCCAATTGAAAAAATCTTCGTTGATTCGGATTGACTTTTCTTCAGTTTCTCAACTACAGAGTTCCAAAGTAAAAAAAAAACAAACACCTATTCTGAAAACAAATTTTCTTAAATTAATATCTTTTGTAGATAATCATGATGTGGATGAAAATCTTGATTCTACTATAGAAAAACATGGTTTTACTGGAGCATTTCCAAGAACTTTTTCAAGTTCATCAATAATAACAACAATGAAACGAGAAACAACAGTGTTGAAATGATGTGTTATTGAAAAGCAAATTCAATAATCATCAAATCAAAATGAAAATATCAAAACTGAAACAAGAAGTGAAATATGTGGAGATAAACATCATACAACAGTAAAACAAGATGGTAAAATAATTCGAGAATATGGAAATGCAACAATAGATGAATTAGATCAAATTGATTCATCATTAAATGATAATCATGATCAATCAATTATTGGCGGAAAGAGACATACGGATTGTTTTCAAAAAAAATTTTTCCTAAATAAAAGTTTTTTGTTACAATGATCTACTAAAAATAAACGAAAGAAAATATTACTCGGGTTTGTTTTTTTTATTTTGAAAAGAAAAACATCTAGTTGTCTCGCTGTTTTTCACTTAATATATTTTATTTTTTCCACTTTGCCAAAACTGAGTGTCTTTTCTGATTAACAATTAAACTTGTCGACAACAACATCATTTTTCTCAATAATGACAGAAAAAGAAGAAAACAGGTGTCAACTCAGATCGAATGAGCATTCGACAGCTTATAAACAACAAGACAACTTTTTTTCCTCTGATCTTCATTTACAATTCACTCACACATTAGAATATCAATTTAATCTTAAGAGTGTGGGTACACTGTAAAAAATAGAATCAAAATAATAAACCCTTTCATATATCCTAGGAAGAGTATTTTATACGTTGCACTTTCATAAACTCTTCGGAAAAGCGTTTTTTATTCTACGGTTTCTTCTAAAGAGTACATTAACAAACGCTTTTCCAAAGAGTTTATGAAAATGCAACGCATAACATACCCTTCCTATGGTTTATGAGAGTGTGGATATGGGTGTGAATGTAGGACTTGGAATGTACGCGTTGGTGTGGAAGTGTGTATGACTGTAAGTTCCATGAAGAGAACACCGACATCGACACCCACATTCTTATTAGGGATATTGATATAATAAAGGTTGCCTATTAAATATTATTTCTCTCATATACCAGACAAAGGTTATAACTTTTCAATTATCGTGTTTTATTATGATATACCATTGATTTAAATCCTTATAATCATTTTGAGTATCTGTAAAAACTGCGGACACTAATTCCGAGCTGAGTTTTATATGATTCTGCGAGTCTAAAATGTGTCTGTCTATGACCCGTTAAAAACAAACTAGAGTAGACTGGATCTCTATATTACAGAGCTACAGTTCTACACGTTTCTGATCAATATTTGACGTTTCCTGAGTAAATATATTAGGCAAGTCTCTTCTTCCAAAAATTGTTGAAGATTTTCGTCATTACCTATTCGAAAAACAAGTCGGTTGTGAAGAAAACTGAAAATCATTTTTCGTTTTTCTCAGAGCGTAGGTTCGACGAAGTATCTCCAACGTCATTCTATCAATATTAAAGCCTCCAAATCTTAACCATCAAAGCTATA